CCCCCGCCCCCACCCCCCAACCTGTAATAGGAAATTCTCCTATTTCGAGCCCACCCCACATCCCCCCCTAGATAAGGGGTGGTTATTTCGCCATAATTACATCCATCCAGGAGCACATCCTTCCCCCCTTGGGGCGTGGCAGGGAAAGCCATGCTTGACGTAGCACCGAAAGCCATTGGGTGATGCCCAAAGCCTCCTCAAATTGCAAGCATGGTTAGTGGTTTGCTAATTCAGGTGGTGATCCTGGAAAGCGTCTGGAAGGACATCGTTAGCAAGGAGATGAAGTGCCCTGCCATTTGGCCGCACGTCCAGGGACATTGCGAATCAATTGGAGAGACTTCCTAAGTCTGGCTCCCCGGGGTGTCGGGCTGTTGGCTGTAGGTCACGGGCAAGAAGCTCCGAGGCGAGGAGGCCTGGCTGCCTGGCTTGGTCATGCGAAGCAGCCCTGGCCAGAACAGCCTGGAAGAAGTAAGTGTAGGGATGTGTAGGGCTTAGGGTAGTGTAGCCATGCGTAGCCTGTCTTCGGCTTCTTGGATTCACGTTTATGGTAAACGCTGCGAGGATAACCTCGGCCCGGCCATGGAACCGGAACACGAATCTGTCAACGCTTTGTGGTGGGCCAGGGAAGGTGCCACGCCGTGCGGACTTCAGGAGCACAGATCCAAACCAACTGGGCGGGGGCAGGGCGCTAGTGATGCTCGTAAGGAGCAGAAGGAGAAAGCCTCTTCTCCGTCGTACCCTGCGATCCCTAAGCACGCCCCTGTTTGAGAAACACCCGTATTGGCTACTGCCCCTTCAGAACGTAACTGGAGCAGGGGCGGCAGGGCCACAATCACTCATATTGTCAATTCAGCCGTTATTGCTATCGTCCGGCAGCTAAACAGGCAAGTGAGTGGACCACCCAACAACAACCAAGACATACCAAGACTACTGGAGCTGAGCGTTTGGAACCGCAAAAGTAGTGGAAAGTAAATGAGAACAGGGATCAGGCAAAAAAGAAGTGGGACAGAAGAGTCATCGAGCATATAGCAGGCTGAAGCAGGCAGTGCACTCCAGCAACAAACACGACTTGCTCTCAGAGCAAATGTTTCCATTGTTTGAAGACCAAAGCCTGGCCTGCGATATGAACTAGAGTCTAAACTCGTTAAAGATTTTAAGGGGGTTATAAAGGGGACGATTATAGGGGCCACAAAGAGGGATGCTAGGAGTTCAGACTAGCTCATATGTTCAGACTCCCAGAACCTCCAAAAACAGCGAAGGGTTTTTGGAGGGGCTGAGAGCAGGCTAACCGAGGGCCTTTGGCTGAGGCCGAGAACTAGGCGAGCTTTCTGCCCCTACCAGATGCTATCAGGATTTGCTCAAGTTAGAACGCGGTGGGTCTGGATTCAGCGCTCACAACGACGTCGAAGCGAAGGCCGGGCCATGGACAAATCCTTGTGGCAAAGTCATGTTGTATTTGGCTTTCTGCGAGTCCTTCACAATGATCCGGAGCGCCAGTGGTGACAACCGCACGCAGCAAGGGCATTTGCCCAGAGCGGGCTATGCGGGACTTCACTGACAGGTATATGGTATTGTATAGCTTACAAGCCCTGCAGACACACATCGCATACACCAGACTTGTACTGACATATCATGTGTGCAGGGAAGGCCCGCAGCCTCCCCTTCACACTGCTAATGTGCCACACGCTGTGCATCTAAGCCAGTTGTGTCTTCGGCAGAGCACCGAAGCAAAAAGGCGTCGACAGCACTCTCCCTTTGATGATATCATCCCTGAGAACTGGGCCTCCGCAGGCCAACCTTTACCATGCTCACCGCAAAGCCCCACTGGTGCTCACCTGCCGCTGCTGAGATTTTGCCATGCCAGAGATGCCGCAGTTGTCCGCAGTTAAAATGACAACATGATGCTAAAGACCATGCATGCCTGACGCACGAGGCCACATATTGTAATTAGCCCTTTTCCTGCATTGTCCAGCACTTCCACAAAAGGGGCAGTCACGTCCCGAAGTAGGGGCCTTTCAGCAAATCAGCAGCAGCAGGCAACATCACGTTCAAGTTGCTTAGCGTGTCGTGGTGCGCGCATGTCTAATTTGGCTGTGAAAGGGGGTCGCAGCTATGCCCGGCAGCATCGTGATGCCCAGAAGAAGCGGAGTTCAAGCGTGCCGCCGAGGACCCGCAAGAGCACGCTGGACTGGTCAGAAGACGGCATGATGAGATGCGTGATGAGATGATGAGTGATCAGAGTGTGTCAGGATCCAAGAGGTATCTGGTGCTCTGGGCTGAGCTTGGGGACTTGCGTATTGGAGCATTGTTTTCGATATTTTCGCAGGTACTTCCGCGGCATCCACGCCTAGCACACTTCCGGCCTCGCGTGTGCCTGTCCTGTGTTGACAGACATCTCAATTTGCTTGTAAACCACGCAGCCTTGAGTCAATGAAAAGGAAGCCCACGCCACGCTGCAAAGCAGACAGGCACGCCCCATACTTTTCGCTATTGCTTGGAGCTTCACTTTCCGGGTGTTTCATTTCTCGCAGGCGTTGTGTGCCGCCAGCGATCTGCAAGCCCCAAAACTCGTGGAACATGGATGAGGGACTGGCCAGAAAAGGCTGCAGGCCAAATGTCCAGTACCTCGTCGAGTGCCTGGAGCGGAGCGTGCGTGCCGAATTACCCGAGCCAAAGACCACCACAAATGCCGCGGACATGGGACGAGCTCAGTCTGACTTCTAGGCATGACCCTACGCGGAAGTCAAGCAGTGGTGACGCAGACGCATGGGGAGCTGCATGTTCTCCACGGCGTCTCCAAACTCTAAGTCAACAACTCGGCAGCATTCGGGATGACACGCGGCGCCTGCGGGCACGTCTGAAATCCAGTACAACAGCAAGTGCCGAGCTTGCCAGACAATCCATGGAAAGTCGCCAGCGTCTCTGTGTTCTAATGGAAGAGGAGCGCAGTTTGTCTCACTTGGAGCTGACGCTTGCTAACCATCACGATGTGCCCGCACCCAGCCTGTCTGAAATGTCTCAGCTTCAGAGTGAGACTGAAGTGCTGGCTCAAGAAGTCAGTGATCTTGCGCAGAGGCAACTCCAGCGGTGCAAAGACCTTCAGCATTTGCGGGGACTGGCCTCTCTTGCGCGACTCCGGCGGCGAGCGCTCGCTGCAAAGCAGGAAGGGCAAAGCTTGGGCCAAGAGTGTGAGGCAAGGGCAAGTGAGCTGAAAGGGCACGTAGAAAACATGGCTGCTCTGCGTCTTCGGGCGGCATTTCTCAAGGAGGAGGCTGCCACTGCAAAGGCAGAAGCATCAAGTGTTGCTGGAGACGCTCAGCTGAAGATGATGGAAGCTCTCGAGGCAGAACTTGGAGCCGAGGACGGGTTGGTTCGCATCGTGTTCTGATTCTCAAGCCAAGGCCTTGGCCAGACATGCTTTCGCTTGAAATGCTATGCTGCTAAAGCTCGGCTCAGGGTTGAATGCAGCAAGCGAGAGAGGTGCAGAAACACAAATCCTCCTCCACCCTCGCCAAACATGTGCAAAGCACCTCAAACCATCTGAGTAGTTTTTTTAAAATAGCATAGTGTTTTATATGAGGAATATAATCTTACTGGGCTTAAGCACCAAAAAAAGCTACTCATCTGACAAAAGATTATATTTCCTTTGTTTGGTGGCCAAACATGGCTGCTATGAGAAGCGGAGAAGTTGGTCCAGTCGCTCGCCTGCCGGCGGACTGGAGGCTTCCGGGTTTTTTCTCTGAAGAGAAAGGATTTTCCGAAAGCCTTTTGGCAAGTGAGGCTCACTCCCAGAAGAGCCTGGAGAAGGCCGAGCGCGCCGAGCGCGAGCAGAGAGCCCGGGTTTTGGTTTGGAGGTTTGGCGTGTTCTCGGGAAGTGCGTTGGGTTTGTTTTTGGCCCTGACCGAGGCCTTGGGGTTTGGGGTTTCGAGCCCTTCATGCCCGTGACCGCATTTGCTGCCGCTTGGCTTGCAGCCAGCACCAACAAGGGCTCCAAGACCGAAAGCATGCCAGCTGTGCAAGCTGCTGCAAGCTGTAAGAAGAGAAAAAGTGGAAGAAACGATGAGTGCTTACATGTGCTTACGTAGTTCAAGCCCTCTCAAGGCAACAAGGGCGTCAGAGCGGCCTTATCGGTCTGCAAAAAGCACTGAACATACTTTTCAATCTGGCAGATTCCACTTGCACTATGTAGGAGTAGAAGCCTCTATCGCAACTGTGGCTGCACTGTTACTCTTCTCCTGTAACCCTGCCGAAAACGAAGTTTGCTCAAACCCGCATGGCTGACAACAATCCTTGCACAACTCTATGTACCAAGACCTAACAGACAAGTCCTTTCTGCAGCCTGGGAGTCTGCGTCGGTACAAATTTATGCACTTCAACTTTCTACCCGCCGCACGCTTGAGGAATGCACGTAAAGTCTTTGTGCAAATCGCAGGGCAGACTTGAGATAACTTGAGATAGTCCAAAGACTGGCAACCGAAAACAGAGGCTGCTGGATGTGGCTCTTGTTGGAGTCTCATAAAGTGTTGATGCGAGGCACTTTCGCTGCGCCAGCTTTGTGTAAGGAGGGCAGACTCGTCTGGCGCTCAATTTGCTAGTCGGATGCGGTCGTGAATTGACGCGGTGGAGGTCGGCCAGCGATCGGCTGTTGTACGACAGCCTGAAGCGAGAGGCTTGCCCACGGGAAGCCAACAACGCAGTGCGCATGTGCGCACAAGCTGGCAAGCTTCGAACTACATAGCGTAGCCAGGTTGGCCGCATGAAGAGCGGAAAGCGCAGAAAGGTCTGGAGCAGCTTGAGTGCTGTGAAGCATATCCTTGTGTGACACATGGCATGAAACTATGTCCTTCCGTCTGCAGCACAGGTAGATGACGCAGTACAGCGGACTCGAGTTAGCCCTGTAGGCGTTGACTTTAGCCGCTTCCCAGCCTCACCGTGTGCATACCTGTCCTGCAGGCAGCCGAAGACGAGCTAGCTTGTCTGGATTCTCGGGCATCCCTGTACCGCGCCCATTTTGGGCTGCCTTGTCCAATAGGGCGCTTGTAACGCCATCCCCTCAGGTCACTGCAAGAGTTTTCGGAGCTGCTTGCTTCGTGGCGCCCCTGGCATCTTGGCTGCACGCGCTGTGGGTATGTGACTGCACGCTGGGAATGTCAACAGTATTCTATTCTGCAGGCTTTGTGGTTTCCAGGTGCTGGCAGTGCCCTATGGGACACAACTCTTTGCCAGCTCGACGCTTTTGCGCCAATTCGTATTGAAGCCGCTGCTCCCATTGGTTCTGGCCGGGCCCCTACTGTACAGGGGTACGAAATCATCAGGCAGCATCCCGGACTGAAGGCTTTCCACTCGTCCAGATACGCAAATTTCCTTTCGATAGCGGCGATTTATGGCTTCATCGTGCCCTGCCTCAGCATGTAAAATTGTTTTGGTGCTGTGGGGCTTTGAGTGCACGCGGCGAGCGCCTGCAGACGAAGTCACAACAATCAGCGTTCACTCGGTCTTTCTACAAGCTAGACTAGACCAGAAGGCAACACACTGACACTGGACAGCATGCCAACGTGTTTGCAGACTGCACCAAAGGCCCAGAACAGGTCAGCACCTCAGACTGAAGACGATTCGGCTTGTTCCAGAGGAAGACTGCGTACTCTACGAGTGCCTTAGAGCCGACACGTTGGCATCATGCCACGAACTTGGCAGCCTGAGCACTGCCAAACCTCGAAGATTCGCGCGCTCCCACCGCTTTCGGCTTGTTTGTCAGCTTGAAGCAAGCTTCTGTGAGAGAATCTCCTGGTGCCACCGATTTCGCTTCAGTGCTGGCTGTTGCTCTTTTCCTACATTTGAGGGCAGATCTTGCAGACAAGATTCTATGAGAATCCATGCGTACTACTGCAATGTTCCAAGCTAGTTTTTACATTGGCCCTGCTTCAAATCTTGAAGCATCAGGCCAAGCCTGCACTGCTGCAGTACCCCCATGCAAGCCAGCTGTGGGGACTTGAATTCTCAAGCCAAAATCACGAGGAGGTGTTTCAAGGCACGGGGGGCATTTCTTTTTCAACATGCTCTTGAGGTCCCTGCATCCCTTCACGCGTTCCATGGGTTCGCCTGCTCAGAACTGCATGAGCAGTTTTTTTTGCCACAGTTTGCGCTTGGCGCAATGCTCTTGTACAGGCCGCCAGGCTTCAACGCTGATGATGATGCAGTCGTGCTGGCCAGTTTGGCATAAGGTAGGCATTTCACGGCGTGTCATGCGTTAACGCGCCACGTTGTAACCTCAAGTCGGGTTGACATTTTTTTTCACGGAAGACCACGTGCTTCTTTTCACTTCAAGCACGTGAAATGCATGAACTAAGGGACCTGTCGCATAGACAAACAGGTTTTACAGGGCTTCTGCAGTGAAATCATTGTGTGATACACGAAATTCGTGGTAACCAGCCCAGGGCGTCAGCACGGAAAACCTACCAGAGAGACAGTCAAGTTAGTTTGGTCCAGCGATTGGACAGAGTGATCTGCCAAGCCGTGTGCCCAAGTCCTGTGTGGCGGCACCTGTCAGTTGCCTGGTTTGGGCATCTGATCCGCTTGCCTCAGAGAAACGGATTCACAGAGACACAGAAGGACTTATTGACTACCGAAGACTTGGCACAGAATTGGAGGCTTTTGTCACCCCTGAACACAGGCTCACAGAAAGCCCCGGAAAGAAGCAAGATGACCATCAGCAAGTTGTCAACAACACCTGGCCCGTAGATGGCTCGTTGATTGTTGTTGGTCCTGCATCGTACGGGAAAGGGGCTGATGAGGTCAAAGCTCATCAGCAAAGCTTCAGCGATTTTGGTTTTGGAGGGCCTTGCCACACGTCGACATGTTGAATTGCAGGTTCCCAGTCAATTTTCTGCTCCAGTTCTTGGGAGTGACGTGCTCACCTGAGAGGTGACCTCCGAAAGAGATAGTGACTAAATGCTTGAAACATTCAGGCCGGGCCCGATGGCGAATTTGGCCAGGGCGACCGTCTTCTTGTGTCTCTGATATGTGTTGGCTGCGTTGATGTATAATGTTTGCTTCCTTTAGTTCCAGGTACTTCATCTACTGCGTGACCTTGGGAGTGTTTGGATCTCTGAGAGGCTCTGCGCTCTTCAATTCTTCTCAAAGTCCTCCCAGAGCTGCTAGGACGAGCAAGCGACTTGCCTTTTTTGGGGACCGGTGCTTCCAGAACTTTTCAACGACCAGGGCCGACGTCGCTGCTGGCTCAGAATGGGACTCTTTGCTTGCCAAGATTGTCAAGATAGGTTTTGCTCTCGGAGGAAAAGGTGCCCCAACTGTTTGAATGCTGTGCCCATGTGGAGCTCCCTTGAAGAAACGAGGAGTCGCAGAAGACAGACAGCTGGAGCGTAGTTGAGCGTGGATGCGTCGAGGTTTCGGTCTAGCTGATCCAAGTGCTAGCCCTTTGGCCTTGGGCGCGGCTCGCAGTGCGGGCTTGGCCTGGGGTACCTGGGGCCCGATGTGGGGACACTGAATGTGTGGGAGGCTCAGCGGGTCAGGTGAATCACAAAAAAGTCATTGAACATGACTTGTGTCACAGGCAGGCTTGGCAATCCACGAATGAAGGATGCTCTGGAGACGGCTTGAGGATTTCCAGCATTTGGTCATCCGAGCATCTGGAAAGTGGCTAGACGCCGCTGCTTTCGATGCTTTCCGCTGCTGCCTTGCACGGCTTTGACGCAAACACGTGTGAGTTACGTGCAATGATTTGCCATGCAAAGCACGGTCATGTTTCTCGCCATTAGATACAGAAGCGGCGTGCAGGCTGCAAAACAGGGATCTGCTTGTGTTCTCAAGACGAAGGTTGCTGTCATCCTTCCACTTATATGGACTGCCGATGCAGGAGCAGCGTGCCAAAATGCGAAGGGTTTTGTCGACCACCCAAGATGCAATGAAGGCACGTTTGTAGATGCCTGTCAGCTGCTGTTGTATCTGCAAAGTCTCTTTCTCCTGGATTTGTGAAAGCTGTCTGAGGCAACGCTGCGTCAGCAAGTACAAGACCTCAAATCAGCTCTGCAAGAGTCGGAGGTCGCTAGCCGAGTGTAAATCACCAGAGAAGGTCGTGCTCGCTCCGCTGCCTCACTTTGAGGTGTCCAGCATGCAAGCCGCATCTCAAGTGCAGGACGATGTCTTGCTCGCGTTTTGTAGCGAGTGCAAGGCGAACGTTATGGTGCTTCCAGCTTACGTTATCCTTCCCCGAAGCTGTTCTTTGTTGCTTCTCCTTTCAGGCCCATGAAAGTTTCAGGACACGGCACTACGCATGGCAAGATCTTGGGAAGCTGAAGGGGAACCCTGCAGATGACTGTTGAATCCTGCTGGGCCTCCCAGGAGAGCCACGATGCTACGCAGACTGCTGGTTGCGTGGGTGGTATCCAGGTGTTGGTAACGCCAGCGTTTGCCGGGTCAACCCGGACTGCGTCAAAGCACAGTGACGACCCATGTCAACAGCCACTTCTTGAGCACCATTTCATCACCTCCACTCAATAAAGTGCCACAAATCTGCCTGGTAAACGGGCCGCTCTTTCACCTTAGGCACATCCAGTCTACCCCACCCACAACCGTGTGCGTTTGAAAGTCGACGCTGGCCAAAGACTTTGGCCTCATGCCGAGGCCTTGACCTCGACCCAGCCTACAAACCCTAACAACTAAAACGAAAGCCTCAACTCCTGAACACACACTAAATGACGCGTCGGCATCGATTGTTTCCGCAAGAGCGGAATAGGTTACTGTGAAGGGTTAACCCTGACGTCCACGGTGTGGGGGCGTCGGCGGAGTGAGGCAAGTCATGCTCTGTGGAGTCGACTGTCTCGGCCCAGATCTTTGAATGGCTCTTTGAGGGAGTGCGCCCCTATTCAGGACTTGGAATGTCGAGAGGAAGTGCTCGCGTCCAGACTGGAAAGGGTTCAGAGCCTAGACATGTAGCCCACCTGCAGTGTTTGCATCTCTGTGTTGGCCAATTTCAATTAAGCAATCTGAGTCGCAGAATCGAAACGCAGCCTTGGCGCAGGAGGCCTGGCGTTGGGCCGAGTGCACTTGAAACTGCTTAGTAGGCAAAAAGAAAACGAGTAAAAGTCCATGACGAATAGAACCTGAAGCCTCTGACCTCAGATGCAGGCTCGGAAGCTGGTTGCCAGTCACAAGCTACTTGAGGCACTTTGGAGAAGCGTTGGAGATTTGCTCTAAATGCAGTAAGTTGTTCTGTGTCTGCAACTCACCTGCAAAGCCAAGAGCCAGCAATAATTGAGCTCAAGTTTTCGCGCGAGGCTGAATTGGAACAGCAGTGTGCTGCGTCGCATGAGTGGCAACGTGTGGTAGAGGATGTGAGGCGCTCTTCCAGCAAGACTGTCTTGCCGTGGCCCGTGAATGCGGCGACTCTCAGATGCGTTGCTTGAGCCGCAGACCGCTACGGACGAGAACTGATATGCCAAGATTCACCTAGAAGGCCCGCTCACATCTCCCTCGCTACCACATGTGGTGAAACTTTTGGGTGTCACCTTGTCAAGGCAAATGTGAGCAGGATTCTTGCAACGAACATGTCAAGATGCGATTTTTGTCTGCGGCTTCAGTTTGCATGTCATCTCATGTCGTGAAAGCCCTGCGCGGGGACTGTGAGCTTGCTCCAGCACATTCCAGCACGCAGGCTTGTACATAATCATGACTCTGGGGAGCTGCCAGAGCCATACAAGACGTGCTCTAAATCTGAGCTTGTCGCCCAGTGTGCCTCAACACGAGGTCTGGGATGCTCCTCGCTTGGTTTCTCATCATGAGCAAGATGACACGTTAAATGGTTAGGATGGGAACGTCAGGGGATTCTATGAAGAAGTAGGAAAACCCGCAAGTCTTTGGCCAAAACTCCTTGGCAGCAAGCCTCCCCCCCCTTGAAACAAGTCATGCGAAGCAAGCGGTGCAACGGGTAGGAAGCATGTTGTTCCCTCCTCCTTGAACTGCACACCAAGAAATTCTGGACGGGCGGAAAGTGTCTGATCACTGTGAGCTTAAACTACACGGGCGGTGTTTTTTCAATCAAGGCTGGCAAAGCCTGCTTTCTGTTACTCCTTAACTCTTCAGGCCATTTGACATTGATTTATTGGGGACAGGATTTTCAGGCTTCCTGCTCAACCATTCTGCTCAACCAAAAGTGCTCGCAGGGTTTTGGCCTTGCTCAGTTGAGCAGCTGCGGGAAGGATATCATATGACATCATCCAATGCTTTCAATCGGGCATCTCAATGTGTCATGCTATGCGTCCGCGGCAAGATGGCTCACGCGCTCATGTGGGGCATCACCCTTCCTGATGGGCTGCTGTCTTGCGGCCCACAGGCCACGGTGCGTCATGTTGCTTCAGCCAGGTGTTCGCAAGGCATCACTTCGGAAAGTTGTCAGGCCTGAAGGCGACGGTGAAGCCTCAGGTGATTACAAGGCCGCGATTGAAGAATCATGAAGAATCCATGTCTTGGGTTTGTGTCATTGCCGTCAGATTGGTGGACGGTACAAAGTTGCTCGACCACTTGAAATCTGGAGTGGAGAGCCACTTGGTCTACCAGATCTTGAAACCAGAAGGTGATGGACTCAAACAGTCAGGCAGCAGAAGAATCATGGTTCTGCTGCTCTGCTTGACACGGTGGCACATGCAACAGACAGCAGACTCCAGAGACAGAAGCCTTACAAAGCAAAGGGGTAAATGTGGTGACAATGCCTACTGTCGATTATTCAGCATGCAGGCATATTCTATGACATTTTCGTGTGTTCTTAAATGACACATGGCAGAGCAATCGGTGATGTGTTGGCAAGCTGACGGGTCATTCCAGCCAAGACATGGCTGTTGTTTCTCCTCCTTCGTTGTCCTTGTCTTCGTGAAGTGCCGTATCGCTTCAGACTACCTCAAGCCTTCGGATGAGCCCTTAGCGTGACATAGACCAATCGGAGCTGGTTACGGATGTAATACACAAGGTGTAACAAACTCATCCCGCACATGAGTTTTCCATTTCCGTTTTTGGATATCCACACGTTCTAAAGCAGCCGGTCAGCAGACCATGCGCTAATTGGAGCCATGACAGTAGTGTGAATGTAGTGCGCCACCAACTCAGGAATCTTGATGGTACTCGGTTGGAGTCCCTGACCCCGAAGAAGGCAGAAGAGAAGAAAGCGCACCAAGTTGAGCGCAAGCAAGCGTCATGCGGACTCTTCTAAGGATACTGTCCTACTGATTCAGCTCTCCGGAGAACAGGGTGAGCTACTGAACTTCAGCAGCGTTTATTTCTGCTACAGGATTCTGTTTGTGGTTTGAGGCTCGCGCCGTGGCCTTGTCATTCCTCAGCCTGCTGAACAACATCAGGCAGGATGGATCTCCTTGGAGGCGCAGGGCGCTTTTTCTGAAGTGGATAAAGCTTGCTTCCTTTGCTTTTGAAAGGACGCGCAGCGTGGCAATCGAGTTCAGCCGGCCTTGGACACTGCTACGTTGCCAGGTGCTGCTGACATCCGCTGACCTGCAGGGCCCCCGAGTGCTCAGTTTCTGACTGCCAGGCTCGTGGGACCTGCGCGCGCGCTACACAGTCCGGAACCCCGCGACCCTGCGAGAAGGCGCTGTTGAAAGGATACCTTTCAGGCTTCATCGGTCTTCTTCGCTGCAGGTCCTTTGATAAGCTCTGGCTGGGTCAGCGAGTTGAAAGTGGGTGCTGAGGTTTTGCTGCAGCAAGTTTGGGTGTCGACGCGCTTGCCAGAAGGGGACTTTTACAGGTCCTGCTTTTGGACTTTGACGTCATCGCTGGGAACAGCGGTGAGAAGGCAGCAAAAGAAGCCCTTTTCTGCCGCCAAGTCAAGAGCTGTTTGGGGAAGAGGCCAGACTCCGGGCACTCGTGAGTTCTGAAGACAAGATTGGCTGGCCGCTCGACTTCAAACAGCAAAGATAGTTTGACCTTCGGTTGGGCATTTTGATAGGGTTCTGCACAGCGGGACAGATGTGGAGGATGAGTCCCGAAACGGGGGACGGCGACCAGCTGCTGGAGCCAGTGAACCTGCTGAGCTGCAAGGCGACCCTGATTACCGCTCTTCTCTGTGCTTCCGGCATTTGGCCGTGCTCTTACAGGTTGTCGAATTGCACCGGCAATCCCTCAGACAGTCTTCATCAGGCCATGCTCCTGCACCGCTGCAGATGAAAGCAGTATCGCAGCATATTGCATGTTTCTTTGCACAGGTCTCAAGAAATCGTACCAGCAAGGCGGCAACTGTCCCTGGGAGGCGCCTATCTGATGCAGTTATGCAGATGTCGGAACACAGTGCATCCTTCTGGGTGAGGTTGGCGCCACTTATCGGATGCTGGAAAAGTCCGTGGTGCGGCTTGGGCCGGACTTGAAGAGTCAAGAAGGCTTCAAGGCCCGCTTCTCGTGCCACTTGTCAGACCATCGTGCTAAACATTTTGTGTGCTTGAGCTGCCAGGTCTCTTCTGGTAGTCTCGTTATGGTCAAGGACATAAACAACGTTGAGGTTGCTGGGGGATGGCAGGTGTCTCAGGCAGAAGTGCTTTCTGGCAGCGTTGAGATTTGGAGCGAAAAAGGTGTCCCGTGGCTTTCGTCAATGTGGAGGACGGTCCCGAGCGAGGCCGAACGGGATGGGCCCCAGGCTGAGAAAGAGCCGCTTCCGGACCTGTCCTGGACGTTGACTTGTCATTGACAATGGCCACTTGTCTACCCAGGTGAGATGTACCGCGAAGCAGGGCCACGACGTTGTGCAGCTGTCTCGCTTTTATTTGGCGGCTCAGATTTTATGTGGGCTGAGCAAGAGCTGTTGCACTTGATCAGATGGATACGCGTGACCACCGAGAGTACGAGAAGATCATTCAAAGAATGCGGGAGTCATCAACTTACCTTTGTCTCAGCTGCTCTTGGCATCTGGGCAACATCATGTCTTGGAGTGAGGTCTGCAGGAGAGGATTTGCCATCAAATGCTAGCCCTGCGGCCATTCAGGCTTTTCTTCCTGGTTGCAATTGCATGGGTCTGCATGAGTTCGATGTTTCCATGCGATTTGGAGGCTGCCGTGATCTTGCGATTAAGGCAGGCGGAAGAGGCCAAGAGAGAGGACGCTGTGGATGAAAAGGAGGGACAAAGCAGGATCTGAGGAGAAAGATTACATTTATATATATATACCATAACATATGAAGATACATTATATGATACTATAATATACTATGATATACTAGAATATGCTACATTATACTATAATCTACGCTGTTCTACTATATTCATTTATTATATTATGTTAACGCTTTGGCATGCTTTGCAGGATGATGCGGCCGCTTCTTCCGGCCCACAGGACACGGATGGGCTGGTGCAGCAGGCCAGAATTCCTCAAGAGAACGCAGATGAAACTATAATATAGTATGGTATATTATAGTATAGCATAGTATAGTATAATATATAGTATATTATGCTATATTAATGCCAGTCTTCTGCACTTGAGATTTCCTGTGCTGATGTGATTTCATTTGGTAAAAAACAAACGTTATGAGATGGAACTGCCAAACTCAATTGTTGCAAGGAGAGAGAGGATTGGGGACATGAGGAGGCCCGCTTTTTGTGCGGAATTGCCCCGAGCTTGCGCGGAGCTTGCACTGCGTTTTTGCGGCCTGAGGATGGAACCGGCCAAGAAACCGAGCCCTCAGTAGGAGTCCAAATGGCCGCCAAAATGTTGCGGAGTCCTTCAGGATACGTCAGACCTGAGGTGAATCCTGCCCTCATCTCGCTCAATGCCTCGATGCAGGAGCTGGAGGAAGTGGCGCAGGAAATCGGATCATTACTGCGAGACGCTGCCTACGCGACTGCAGCAGTTGCAGGACGAGCGGCTGTTAATGGCCGACAAGTCAGAGATTGACAACAACAGTAACTGGTGCTTGTGTTCCTGTCAAGGCCTCAACAACTCGAGGCTGAAGTTTTTTTGAACAGCAGCTTGCTAAGGTGGAAACTAGGCTCAAGATGAGCTTGGTGAATCAGTGGTGGGTGCGCAGCGAGCTCGTCGAACCTGGTGGCTTGGTCATCTCAGTCTGAGCAGCAGAACTTTCGTGAATCTGCAACGAGTGGGACAAACGGACAGTGGCAGTGTAACATTATCTGGTCTTTGCAGACTTCCGAAGCAATGAAGTCTGAATTCCTGAAGTTCTCAGTTGCAGAAGGCGACTGAAGTGCATGCCCTCTGGTGCAGTTGTAATTTCCCTAAAAAGGTCCGTCTGCCGCATCCGCATTGCATGTCTCTCTGTCGTATCCGGGGTTCCAGGTGAAAGCTGGTAGTTGCACAATTGTCAGAACTTTGATCCGTAGGGTCTACGCATGAGAATTCCAAACATTTTGTTGTTCCGAGCTTGCTGGAAAGATTTGAGCTGACCGCTGCTCTTTTTGTAGAAGGGAGAAGCGACGGAGGTGGGTGTCGGAACGGTTTTTGGAAACTTTTCAGCTATTAGTACTACTAAGTGAGGGACATCTCGCCACCAGAATGTGTCCGCTGTCTCCGAACAGCTTTATTTCGTGGCTTGGAATGGGGCCTTTGGAGGCCAAACTTTCTCGTCTGGGAGAGGTAGGAGGTTGTCTTGGGCCACAATTCGCGCAGTTGTTGAAGTACTGTTGAGGGCTTGCGCTGACAAAGAGTTGTGGGACAACTATTCACTTGCTGGAGTAGACAGCCTTATGTGTCCTCCATGACAGGCAACAGGGCGCACAGCTTCGTTTTGGCCTGTGTTGAAAGCGGCATAAGTAACAAGAATAAGACTTTGATGTCGCATGCAACCAGAGGGGTGGCTGCACTTCAGGCTGACACTAAGGATAAATTCACGGTTGGCTTGGGAAGTTAGAGGCTCAGACAGCCGCACAGGCCAAGGACTTTTCAAAGCTTCGTGGAAATGGTGAGAAGCATGTTGTGCTCGCGGACGAAGTCTCCTTCCATTCTCCATTGACCTACTACAGCTCGTTTAGCAAGCCTTAAGGAGGCCGTGGCACTCATCGGAAAGTGATTGGAACGTGACTTCACCACACAATGCGGCAGCTAGGTCAAGACCACAGCCGCTGTGAAGAAAATCGATGCGCCTGGCAAGAGGGCTTCTTTGGCCTATGGCACGACTGCCGCTGTTCCACAGCAACGGGGCGTGGCGCGATGCTGCGAGTTCAACGGACTAGTTGATGGTCAGGCAAGCGCTGCTAGTTCGAGGAGAAGCTCTGATTCTATCAGGACTTGCCGACCTGAGGGGAGGGTGCTGTCCGGGCTGCTGCGACGCCGCTTTGCGTTGAGGTGTATCAAGAATTACTTTGGAGAGTAGAAACTTCATGGCCCTGGGAACAAAGTGTGCCAAAGGATGAAACAGCGGAAGCGGCGGAAGAGCTTGAAAAGATGGTGCAGCGAGTCAGCTCGCCCGTGAAGGAGTCCATTTCGTTACGTGCTTTAAAGGGGAGTACGGAATTCAGTGGAAGACGCATTAAGTCTTGCCGATTTTTTGGAAGTTGAAAACGTATTACGTCTGAATGGAATTTACCCCTGCAGCAGGCCAAGCCTAACTGCATCAGCTCGTGGACGGAGACCAAAAACGCTTCCTCACCAGGTGACAAACTACCGCAGTGCTTGGAAAAATTGGTCAGAATCCTGCACTCGAGAGCATGACTGCAGAAACCTTTTGACTTTGAGCTTTGCATGCGGATGACCGTGCTCTTTGGTGGCAGCTATCCGCAGCGAATCCTGCAGATTTTGGCTTGAAAGTTTCAACAGCGGGCATTCTTAGCTCCATGCTAATCGGTAGCATCTGGACATTGGTCCCGGGCTCGGTGGCACCTGCAGCGAGAGACAACAGCAGAAGCATGACAATTGAAACCATGAGAAGAATGAAGGGCCTCTACACAACGGCTGGAGCATGTGCTGATCAACCCTGTCCCAAACTTCAAACCACTCCTCATGCACGCACACATTCAAAGCAGCCTGTACCCTGGAGTCTGTAGCCTAACCCCCTTTCAACGGGCAAGGTGTTTCGCCCGCAGTGGAGCCCAAGACATTCAGAACCACAAACATGCCTTCTGCCCAGGTCCCTCTCACTGCAGTTCTTTGCTTCAAGCATGGCTTGGATCTGCCACTTGCAGAGGCTTTGGGGGGAAAGAATCCAGACAAAAACGATTACAATCATAGCGTTGTTATTTAAGGGCTGCCGCCGCT